CACAAACTATGTAACATAAATCAGTTCTTAAAACAAGGACGTGTTTTTTAAATTCATGTAGTTTTAAAAAATGTAATCATTTGTCATATACAACTGAAAAATGTGGCCTCTAGGAACCTTGAATTGAATGTCTTGTATTTTTGAATATTATTCGTTCTGCAAATTATAGTCAAATTCAATAGTCTATCTCCTAAGCTAAAAAAGCTACAGCGCTGAAATTTTCACACGATGTAGTAAGTACTCTACTCTTTACTTTGACTATTAAACAAAGTTTCTCGTTTAAAAAGAACGTTCTTGAAAGTGCAGTTTTCTACAGAGCTATTGGGAACAAAGTGACGTTTATGGCGAAACTTATCGATTTTCTGGAAAACTAAGCTTTTAATCGAAAAATGCGTATCTCCATTGTACTCGCCATAAAATTCTGTGTTAGAACGCTGGTTTTCAGAAAAGCCTGGACATGTCGAAAATCGGAAAATTTCGTCGATCGAGGGACTTTTTAAATTTTTTAACACAAGAAAGATACACGCATATTTCACAACCTATGTAACATAAATCAATTCTAAAAACAAGGACGTGTAGTTAAATTCATGTAGTTTTAGAAAATGACATCAGTGTTCATATACACTTGAGAAATGTTTTCACTAGGTTGCCTTGTATTTTTGAATATTCGTCGTTCTGCAAATAATACTCAAATTCTATAGTCCCTTTCTCTTAAACTAAAAAACCTACAGCGCGTATGTCTCGTAAAGTGTTGTACCTGTGTACGTAATTTCTGATAAAAAGGAGATAAATAATTTTTCCAAATTTTCCAGTCAATTTCCCAACTTTGGCACTATATTTTTTCGCGTCTATCTCTGAAACTAATAGCTGTATGTAGGTCTTCCTTGCATCATTTAATTTTTTGTATAGTGTTCTACACGTGTACGTAATTTGAGATAAATACGACAAAATTATTTGTTTCCCATAATTCTTGCTTATTTCCCCAATTTGAGCCTTATATGATTTCGCGTATATCTCCGGAACTACTTGCCAAATCATTTTTTTTTGTTTCCATTCAATTTCTCGTAAAGGGTTTCCACCAATGTTTGTAATTCCAGATTAATGCAATAAATTTAATTTTTGTTTGAGTTTTCCAGTCAATATTTCAATTTCTTCGTCGTAATGTATTGCTTAATATCCGAAACAAATTGGCGAATCGAAGCCTTGTTTGCAGCATTCAATTTATCTTAAAGTGCTATGTGTTAATATAATTTCACATAAATCCTAAACAAATAATTTTATTGGAATTTTCCAGCCAATTTCACTGTTTTAGCGCCATATTGTTTCATGTCCATCTTCCATCCATCCATCGACCATCACGTCGATCCATAATTGTCGGATCAACGTTTGTTTTGGGCTTCTTAATTTCTCGTAAGATATTCTATCTGTGTACGTAATTTGAGATAAATAGGACAAAAGTATTTTTTCCGAATATTCCAGCTAACTTCCCATTTTCGAGGCCATATGGTTAAGCGTCTATCTCCGGAACTAGTAGCCGGATCGAAGTTTGGTTTCCTCCATTCATATTTTACGTAAGTGTTCTACCTTCCGTAATTTCTGATAAAACCGAGAAAATTGATTTTTCCGGAATTTTCCAGCCAATTTTTCAACTTCAGAACCATATTGCTTCTCGTCTATCTCTGAAACTAATAGCCGTATATAGGTCTTCCTTGCAGCATTCAATTTTTCGTATAATGTTCTACCTGTGTTCTTAATTTGAGATAAATACGACTAACTATTTTTTTCTGATTTTTCCAGCCGATTTCCCAATTTGGACGCCTATCTATCTCTGGAAATAGTACCGGGATCGACGTTTGGTTTGCTCCATTGAATATCTCGTAAAGTGATCTACCTCTGTAGGTAATTTCAGGTTATTGCAATAAAATTATTTTTTGGGGAATTTTCCAGACAAATTCTAATTTCGGCGCCATAATGTATTGCGCCTATCTCCGAAACTAATTGTCGGATGAATTTTGGTGTGTTCCATTCAATTTCTCGTAAAGTGTTCTACTTGTGTACGTAAATTCTGATAAAAGCGATAAAATTAAATTTTCCAGCCAATTACCCAACTTCGGAACCATATTTTCGCGTCTATCTCTGAAACTAATAGCCGTATGTAGGTCTTCCTTGCAGCATTCCATTTCTCGTAAAAAAAGTTAAACCTGTGTACTTAATTTCAGATTAATGCAATAAAATTATTTTTTTCCGAATTTTCCAGCAAATTTCCCAATTTTGGTGCCATATGGTTTCGCGTCTATATCTGGAACGCCCGGATCGAAGTTTTGTTTGCTCCATTCAATGTCTCGTAAAGTGTTCTTCCTGTGTACGTAATTTCAGATTATTGCAGTAAAATTAATTTTTTGCAAATTTTCCAGCCAATTTTCCAATTTTGGCGCCATAATGTTTTGCGCCTATCTCTGAAACTAATTACCGGATGGAAGTCTTGTTTGCAGCCTTCGTTTCGCGTATATCTCAACTATTAGCCGGATGGATATTTATTTGCTCCATTCAATTTTCTTAAGGTGTGTACCTGTGTTCGTAATTTCAGAAAGAATCGAAAAAATTGAGAGCGTAGGCTTCCGCGGCCGGAGTCAGTATTTACTAGGCTATCCGGGGTCGGCACCTTCGCCATGGACGTTTCGGTCGCCATTCTGCGACCTTCCTCAGGGCGTAATGCGTCACCTGGAGCCTAGTAAATATCGAAAAAATTATTTTATTCCGGATTTTTCAGCCAATTTGCCAATTTCGTTGCTATATTGTTTGGCGTCGAAAGTTTGGTTTGCCACATTTAATTTCTAGTAAAGAGGTAAGTTTCTCGTAAAATGTTCTACCTATATATGTGATACCAGACAAATGCGACGAATTATATATTTTTCTAATTTTGTTACATAAATATTCAACTTGGGCACCTTTTTATTTAGCGTCTATCTCCGAAACTATTTGTGGGATATGAGTCTGTTTGTTCCATTAAATTTATCGTAACAAGTTCTACGTATATACGTGAGATCAGGCAAATACGACGAAATTAATAATTTTTCAATTTTTTCACTCAATTTTGCAACTTTGGCGCCGTTTTGTTTCTCGTCTAACTCCGAACGTATTTGTCGGATTGGAGTCTGGTTTCCTCCATCAAATTTCTCGTAAAGCATTCTACCTTAATACGTGAATACAGACAAAAGTGACAAAACTAATATTTTTGCAAATTTTTTACCCAATTTCTCAACTAAGGAACCGTCTTTTTTCGTGTCTCTCCGAAACTATTTGTGAGATTGGATTGTGGTTGGCTCCATTAAATGTCTCGTAAATTGGTCTACATATGTACGTGGTTTTACAAAGAAGCGACAAAATTAATATTTTTCCAAATCTGTGACCCAATTTCTCAATTTAGTTTCGCGACTCTGTTGTTGTTTTTTTGTATTGTCTATCTACGAAACTGTTTATCGGATTGAAGTCTAGTTTGCTCCATTTCATTTCTCGTTAATGGTTCTTCCTAGTTACGTGTCTTCATGAAGATGCGTCGAAATTAATATTTTTCTAATCTTGTCACGCAATGGGCTGGGTATTATTTGTTTTGGAACACAGGTTCCATTTTGTTTTCCATATCCGAACATATTTTTCGGATTGGAGTTTGGTTTGTTCAATTTAATTCCTCGTAAATATTTTAACCATTATTTTTGTTTTCATAAATGAGCGACAAAATTAATATTTTTCCAACTTGTAACGCACTTTGGGAGTATTATTTACATTTTGAACTTCGGATCCGTATTGTTTCGCGTATATATCCGAATTGATTTGTTGGTATTCTGACTTGTTTGCTCCATTGTATTTCTCGTTAATTGTTCTACCTATAAACTGTTTTCAAAAAGAAGCGTCGTAATTAAAATTTTCCCAAATCGGTCACGTAATGGGGCCGGGTATTTTTTTGTAGATCGAAGTCGTTTAATTATAATCTACGATGTACATCGTATATACGTTATATACTGAGTATATCACAGATAGCTTCATCTATAACACAGATATAGCCAATGTACACTAAGTGATTAAAAGTATCCGGACACGTGGCTGAAAGTGACTTACCAGTTCGTTGCGCCCTTCATCGGTAATGCTGGAATTCAATTGGGTGGTAGCCCACCCTTAGCTTTGTTGACAGCTTCCACTCTCGCAGGCATACTTTCAATCAGGTGCTGGATGGTTTCTTGGGGAATGACAGCCCATTCTGCACTGCGGATAGGTATCGATGTATGTCGGTGAGGGCTGGCACGAAGTCGGCGTTTAAAAACATCCCAATGGTGTTCGATAGGATTCAGGTCAGGGATGTTAGCCAGTCCATTACAGGGATGTTATTGTTGTGTAACCACTCCGCCACAGGCTGTGCAAAATGGACAGGTGCTCGATCGTGCTGAAAGATGCAGTCGGCATCTCCGAATTGCTCTTCGACAGTAGGAAGCAAGAAGGTGTTTAAAACATCAACATAGGCCTGTGCCGTGATAGTGCCACACAAATCAATAAGGGGTGCAAGTCCCCTCCATGAAAAACACGACCACAGCATGACACCATTTTTGACGTGTCATTGGACGTGGACAGGATACGTTTGATCGCAGTGTATTTCCAGTTGGTCGTGAAACATGAACAAAAATTTACATCACAGATTACATGCAACAAAAACATATAATCAATGAACAATTGAAACAAAATTATAAACGAATAATTATAACTGATTCTTTGACAATCATTTTAATATTTATAGTACAATAAGTTAAATTAGAAATTGGTACCCTTCTAATACTTGCATTCAATTATCCTAACCCAGAAGTCGCTTTATATTGCACATATATGTTTACTTCCCCTATTTGAACATGACGTTCCTGGAAAAGCAGTTGTTTTGGTAACACACCTTTGTTGTGTTTTTTTATAAAATCAAGTAATTTGTGTGTAATATGAAATAAAGACATTCTCCAGTGTGTCTGTTATATGTGGCAGTGTGCAACGAGCTGGCGAAGGGCGTGAGCGCCATCTTGGACTTCACGTGGACGGGGTGGAACGCCGTGTGGAACATGAGCGCGTTCGCAGGCGTGCCGTACGTGCGCGTGGACGTGACGGTGTCGGGCTTCGTGGCGGCCGCGGAGAACTTCTTGTCGGAGCGCGCCGCCACCGACGCCGCGCTCATCTTCCACACGGAGCAAGGTACAG